ATGAAGGCTTTTATTGGTCTGTATCTGGATTTGGACCATTCTAATAGAAATGTAATGGTATCCCATTTTAACTTGCAATTTAAGTATTTATTTTAATAATGTTATTGCATAAATGAATAGAGAGAGAGCCAGGAAAATTAAACAACTTACCCATGATTCTGTGTACTAACTAGCAGATTTAAACTTCAGTTTGATTCATACTCCCAAGGCTTTGTGCTTTCTATTCCATGGTTGAGTTTCAGTTAGACAAGAATGGAATCCAAATTTGCATATGCAGGACATGAAATGTTAATTTCCAGTCATATCTGTTACTCTTCTTAGTTCAGGTTTCCCAGATGACCCTGAGACAAGGAAATACCAGATAGAAGTGGGGGAATGCGATAGGGGAAAGTGCCAGTGGTGGCTATGTTTGAATTCGGTTACCACTGTGACAACCAGATAAGGGAACTTGGGGGAAATGGGCTTAATGTTACTCAAAATGTGAGGTGTGACAGATCTACTGTTTGAGACTGGCCCAGAATAAAGAATGCATAAGTACTTACAAACCTTTATGTCAACTTACCATTCACTCTGTGGCTTTTGTTTTTTCAAACAATTCATTCTACTTTACTTTTTAAAGTACCAGTCCATGTTGGATTGAAAACACAAAACAAGTCCCAAAATAGTGTGCAACACAAGGTCCAAAGTGATTCCATACAAGGTACAAAGGAATCAGAATGCTTATACCTCACTCCCCAGCTGGTCAGCCTTTCAGTTGAGACAGCACCCAGGAATGTTCATTCCTCAGCACTGCGAGCTGTGTGCTGTGACTTAGCAAGCAGAGCCCCAGGGAGAAGGTCGCTGGTAATATCTATATAGACTTGGGTCAGCAAAGACAGTTTCACAAAGCTAAGGAATTGGTGTAAACAACACCCCATCTCTACAGACATTATGAAGATGAGTTAAATGCTAATGAAGCATTAGTTTGATGCATGTCATAAGGGATCACTGAAAACTTAAGTTTGGCTATAAACAGATACCACTTTTTATTTAAAGGGGCCTATATACACAGCAGTGACCTGGCAAGAGTGAGGTCCTTGAGTTTGATTTCCAGTAACCACCCCACTCCCCCAAAAATGTACTTATAGTTTGCACTGAAGAAGCCCCCTCCTCTTCTCTACTTCAATAAGCTTGGATATTGATATGTGACTAAATTCTTGAAAATCAGATATTCTCAATCAGGATGCTAATTCCTCAGTTATTCAAAAAGGAAGGGGTGATGAGAACTCCCTCTCATCATTCGACATTTATTACTTGTATTTCTCTCTCCTTTGTTTTTGACTTTATTCTATCAGCATCCTGCTGATTCTGTGGACTTTCAATTTCCTTCCAATAATTTTCTTTTTCTAACTTATATCAAACACAATATGACTCTGTTACTTGGAAACAAAATTCATCCCCGATATGTAATAATCAAAAAAAAAAAAAATCAAACCTCTGATTCATACCTGCTCAGGAGTTTTCTTAAAAAAGTGAGATTTGTTTCTTTGCCACTTGGATCTCAGTTTCCACATTTATAAAATGTGGTGGACTCAAGATTATGATTCACAGAAATTAGTCTGTTAGAGGTTCTTTAAATAAAGAACCTCTGGATAATCCAGTACATGCTGGCCTACTTGAGTTTCTGGAAATTTCTCTTGGAAAGAATTTAATTAACTTCAATTTAGCATTCCCCAAGTTTAATCATGAAAATCTTTTTTTCAAAAATCACTTGCATTTCATGAACTCAATCATCCATAGACTGCCTTGGCAAGAGACAGCAGTGGTCACATTTTTTATAAGTTACATCAGACAATGCATTTTGTTGATAAACACCTATGAAGAATTGAAGCAGTCTGTATGAAACCATTACCATGGGAGGTTCTTAAACTTCCATGTATATAAAAACTATATGAGAAGCTTGTCATAATGCAGATTGTTGGGCACTCTATGAGACCTACTGAATGAGAACCTCCTGGAATTGAGACAAATAATTTGCATTCAGATTTACCCTGCAGGTAATTATGTTATAGGCAGGCTTCAGTCTACAACATGATAAGAAACACTATTCTATAGAACACTTCAGTGCAAGGGATGTTTCAGTGATTTTTGTTCATTATCACTAGAAGAAGCTAGAAGTCATAGTAGCTGGAACACATGCCTGTGGTCAGCGAGCCCAGACACAACTTGGACTATCCACTGAAAGTCTACTGAGTAACTGCAATCTCAACTTCAGAAAGACATAAAATTATAATGTGACTATGATCTGAGGTGCAACTATGAGGTCAACAGTTTAAGCAAAATCTGACTCAAGTCCACAAATTCAGGGAAAAAAATAGTCCTCTAGAAGTTTCTCTCCTTCCTGCTTCCCACTTATAGCTTATTAATTCTCTCTAAAAACCGACATACTGAGAAATCAAGGTACAAGGAGTAGGGAAGAATTTTAAGTCATCTAGTTGAATGACTTATTAGCAACTCAAAAAAGCTTATGAAGTTTGGAATGAATAGCTAGTGTTATTTTGAGACTGTGAATTTCCTGTATTCTCATTACTATAAATAATGAAAATTTAGCTGTCAGAAACTCAAAGTAAGACAGCAGAACACATTAGAAAACCAGAAATTAGTGAAGTCATTAAGTCTTGAACATTTTTTCCTCTGTTAATATCATCAGATAACATGATAAAGGTAAAACCGCATTTCTTCACAATATCCTACATGGTTTTTACAAGAAAAAAATATATGTTTTGACAACCAATGTCATTTATCAGATACAAGCAAATTTTTTTGTTTCTAAGTAAATTATTGTTACTGTAAAAAAAAATCTCATGATAATGTGAATGACTTCAGGAGAATTTACATTCAATTTGATAGCCCCCAAATACAGATGAATTGCTTATCTGCTTATAATAACAGTCTAACATCCAGCATATCGTGTTGTATTTTAGTTTAATAACCAGACCTAAAGCTCTTTTAAACTGGAAAGCGGTGATGTATGGCTCTGTGCTCTTTCTCCACAAAGCCAGCACCCTGACATTTATCTGCAGGGGATTCACATCACAAACTGTGGATGTCCTTCCTTCTGAAGGGCTTCAGACCTTCCTGAAACAGATCTATGAGCCTTATCTTACTCCACTTGCTACACAGTTGTTGGGACTCCTATAGAATATAGCATCTCCTAACAATACAGGGTACAAAAATTTGTGCGTACCTCATCCATTCCTTAAAATTACATCCATTGCTTAAATTTATAAGCATGTAGTATTACAACCTTCATTTACAATCCAGCATCAAGAGGGAGATTAAACATGCTGTAAAACTTTTATGTGATGTTAGTCACCTTAAGATGTAGAGTTGGTTCCCATATTCTTGTGGAAACTACAGATTTTGTTTCTTTTTTTTTTTTTTGCACACTAGACCTTCTCAAGGGTGGCTGAACCCCTTGGCCTGGGACATAATCTCTGTGAAATACACACGCTGCCCAATTGAACCACAGCCTATCAGATTTTAATATGTGGAGGAAGACCTAGTAGTTCAGATTTGAAGCCAAAGAAAGAATTTTAGAAGCGAGGGAGGGCAGGACTGAGTGAGTTCTACTCGTGTAGCCTGTACTGCTCAGCAGTAACACTGCTCACTGGTGGATCCAAGGCACTTCTGCAACGTGGTTCCCAGTTTGTTTCGCTGACTGCAGCACCCCGAGGCGCCGTCCACACCTGAAACAAGGGGAGTTTTCCATGCTGTGGTGTATTAACCAGGTACTTTCCATTCACTCAGTTAATCAGAAAGAAGAGAGAGAGAGAGAGAAAGAGAGAGAGAGAGACAGTCTCCCTCCTACTTGTTTTCTCGCTCCAAATAAGGAGACGGAAACTATTAAATAAAGAGGGAAACTCCCGGCGCATTTCACCTTGACCTGGCACGACTGGTGCTCTGCCTGTAAGAGGTGGGTGCCCGGTTACGGAGAGCGGATAAGCTACTAGTGGAAAAATAAGAAGCCACACTTCAAGACTGGGAAACCACTCCTGCCCCTAGGGGTAAAAAGGAAACCATCAGCATCACCCTGTCTCAAGTTGGAAACAGCGCCTCTCTTCCGATGGGGGTGCGGAGAGGGCGGGGTCCCCTCCCTCGGCGCGGAGTGGTGGTGCCCGGGCTGAAAGAGTGCCGCTCGCCTAGCCGCCCGCTGCACTTCGCGCTCCACCCACACCTGAATGTCTGAGCTGCCACCAGGCAGAAACGCCCTCCCCTAGCTTCGCCTTAGCGTCTCTCGCTCCTCGGCCGCCCTCTCTGACTTCTTTGTTCTGTTTGCTGCGGAGATGCTGCTCAGGGTCAAAAGACAGAGTGAGACCAGCAAAAACTCAGACTCGCCCCCAGACCCTGGGAAAAAGCAAGGTTGTGCAGCTCGGGCTGAGACTGCGAGAAGCAGCGGCTAGAAATCTCGGCCAGTATCTCCGGGAACAGCCCCTGAGAACTCGTTCAACTCTCCAAGGGCTGGGGAGACCCGGGACAGCCTTGGGAGGGGGCGGAGGGCGAGCTCCCAGCCCTGCAAGCACAGTGGGCAGTGCTCACCCCGGGAACAGAGAGTTTGGGGGCGTGCAGGGGCCCCGGACCCCACTTTGCACGCAGCAGCGGCGGGGCAGTGAGTATCTCTAAACAAAGGAGCGCAAAGCACGGGGTGAGAGAGTGGAGTTTGCTCAGAGCAGCCACTCGTGCTGAACGAGTCTCCCACCAACCACACCAGCCAGACAGCCTTAGGGTGCTGGAGTCCGGAAAGGAAAGGGCAGGGAACTTGCCGCTCGACCTTCTTGGTGCGTGGCCACGCACCGGGAGTTCTCGGGAACGATGGGAATGGCAACTATCAGATCCTAAGGGGAGAAAAAGAGCTGGAGTGAGCAAAACAAAGAGCGAGTGTGGGCCGCGGTGACTTCATGCCTCACCAATGTCCCGCCCACGGGCTCGGAGCTGTTGCCGCTGCAGCCTGGGCCGCCGCCGCGCCTGCGGGCGACCCAGGCCAGGCGCTCCGGAGCGTGGGGCGGTTTCCTAGCAACTCGTGGCCCGCTGTGCGCCCAGATCCCAGTAGGTTGGAAGCCCCCGGGGCCAGGGCAGGACCATTCCGCCGCCAGCCGTGCTTCCCTTGTCCTAGCCGGGTGCACCGCAGAGCGCCAGCTGCCAGGGTGCTGGGCGGCGGGGCGCCTGAGTCTCGCGCTGGAGCCAAAAGGACCGGGGCACGAAGCCCCCGCCCCGCTAGGCCGGGCTCCCGCACCCCCGCGGAGCCTCCCCTCCCGCCCGAGCCGCCGTGCGCTCCACTCTCAGCCAGGCAGGGAGCGGGATGCCTAGCGCTGCGCCTGCGGGCGTCGTCGGGCGCCTGTAGGACGCCCCAGAGGCGCCTCTCCAGCGGCTGGCACCCCAAACCTGCCCCCCTCGCCGGTCGGGACGCTGCAGCCGGTCCTAACCGACTGCAAGGCTGCGACTCGTTGGAGCTGGCCTTCCTGCCCACCTGTGGAAGCGCTCGCGCAGATGCGCCGGCAGCTTCTCCCCTTGGCTGTCCGGCGTCCCCTCCCACCGATGTAGCATCACAGTGATGTACATTAGGGTGGTTTTCCCCCCAGCTTCGGGCTTTGTTTGGGTTTGATTGTGTTTGGCTCTTCGCTAAGCTGATTTATGCAGCAGAGCCCCATCGGCTGGAGAGGAACAAAAGCTCTTTTCTTTGTCCGGGAGCCGGCTGCCGATCCCTCGCCCGCGACACCCCTGGGCCGCCAGCCGTCAGCGGAGCTGCTCCTCACCGAGACCAGAGCCCGCCGCGCCGAGCTGGGAGGGCCGCCCGGGCCCTGAGATGCGGAGCCGGGCCCCGGCCCGCCTACCTGCTCTGCTCGCATTCCGCCGAGCGGTCCGCCTGCCGGGCCTGCGGGCCACGTCTTAGGGACACCCGGCCCGCGGGCCCCGAGGTGCGCCCGGGAGGAGAGAGCGCGCGTCCGGAGAGCAGCCAGGCGCCAGGCGGGGGGCGGGCTGCTTTGCATTATGTGCGGCTCGGCCCTGGCTTTTTTTACTGCTGCATTTGTCTGCGTGCAAAGCTGCCGTCAAGGTCCTGCGTCCTTTCTTCGGGCGGCCTGGATGTTTTCACTTTTTCTTGGACTGGGCCAAAGTGGTAAGTAGTTTTATGTTGTGTGTTCTCTTGACCCAACATCTTGGGATGGCACGAAGGGCTTCCTGGCCATAGCATCCACGCCAGGTAAGTGGCAGATACTGGTCACAGTCTGTCTTGAGAACTTCCGAAGGGATGGCGAGTGGTGGTGTCCTCTCTTGAAAGCAGCCTTGGAGAGACCCGGTGTCAAGGCTTTCTGCCCTGGAGCGACAGCAATACATTATTGTGGTTGAAGACGCTGGGAGTTGCTCCTGGGTGCTGCGGAGCAGCGACCGAGTGGAGGTTTTGCAGGGAAGGTGCTGTAATCACGGGCAGTATAGAGGGTCTGGTGCATCCTTGGGGCGTCCTCCACACACGATGCCGGTCCCGCGCCTGCTTTCTAGGCTGTGCGTCCAGCAGCTACCAACTTGCCTTTGACCTAAGGCTGTGGATAAAGTGATTTACAAAGAAATCTTGTTGGTTTCACTGAAAGAAAAGAACAGAAAGATACAAGTTTCTTCTCTCATGGGTTTCAATATGAATGAATTACTCTTGAGGAATATTCACGTTTTAACATGCCATGCCTTTAGCTTTTCCTTACAAAAGAAAAGAAAAGAAAACAGAAAAAGCCCACTTTCCTACATAATCAATCCCTCACTAAGCTCAATATCAGATATGAGAAGCAGAAAGAATCCTGGTCCAGGATTGACAGCTTTTCCAACCAAATATCTCAGGCCAGCATTACCTTGATTTGGAGTTGTTACCTCTGTGTTAAATTGCTTGTCTTCTTCTATAAAATGGGATAATAATATCTGCTCTCCCTAAGTCACAAAGGAAAGTTCAAATAGTATATGAGAAGAGATTGAGGAACTTTTAATTTATTATATCATCAAAATCAAATATAAGGCCATAGCACTGTATTGTTTTGTCTTTGGTACTGGGAATCGAACTCCAGATGAGGTTGCCAGGTGAGCGCTTATGCCACTGAGTTATATCCCTGGTCCTTGTATTGTTAACAAACCATAAAACATAAAATTGTTGGTTTACCATGTAGGTCAAACATTTAGTTTGCAAGTGCAGTGACTATTACTATACTTCTAAAAAAGACTTGTCCTTTTTCTCTGGTCACCGAGCCCTTAAATTCTATGAACATTTGAGTCTAATTTGTCTAATATATGTTTCAGAGAGATTTACCAAATTATTTGAAATGGAGCCACTTAGAGTAAGTGTTTTGCCTTGTGGTTATATTTTGACTTACATATTGATTTCAAAATAAGTGAAACTTAGTGCAAAGGAAAAAGTAACATTCATTATCAATTGTCTCTTAAATGGAACATGTATTTGTGACACCAAAATTTCCACCAACCATAATTCCATCCTGTTTGAATAAGTAATGTGCTTTTTTTTTAGATTTAGTAAACATACACACTTACAAACTAATGAAATGACCAAAACTTAAATGAGAAAGTATATTTTTGTTCCTGACACATAGGCAAATGAAAACTTCCCACTTGCCTCTAGAATTTGCTAATAATGCTAATATTTAAAAATTCATTGTGCTTGTAAAAATTAGTAAGGTTCTTTTTGTGTTAGCACTGTATTCCTCTTCACTGACTATAACTGACAGTAAGCAAATATTATGAATGGGTCCCCTTGCACCTGCAGACCTGAAAAAGAAATGGGTATCTGGAATCAGAACAAGGCATCCTTTTCCCAGTCTCTGTCAGTGTACAAAGCTTTCTGATGTATTCTGATTTGCATGGAAGTTAGAAACATGCAAAAAATTTAAATTATAGCCAGTACAACTCAGAAAATTAGAGATCAGAGTAAACTGTTGTACTTTTGTGATATAGCTACAAGTCTCAAATTATATGTCTTTACAGTACAAATTAGATGCTCAAATCAGAATAGAAATTTAGGTATCAATTACAAAAGAAATCTTGTTCCCATATTCCGCATGTAGTTTACACCAAGAAAATGTTGGAGACCATAGCTGTACAAGACCAACATAATTTGGATTAAATGTTTGAAGTAGAATTTATGGGCCTCAGATGCACGGTACACTTTTAGTACTGAATTTATAGGGGATAGAAGCTAAGTTTAATATCTGAAGATTGTGATGTAGAAAAAAATTATTGCAGTTTTAAACTTTCCTTGGTAGAACTTTCCAGAAATAAGAGACAATTAATGTTATCAAGAACAACACTATGAAATAGTAAATGAGCAACTAGAAAACATAAAAGAATACCTATTGGTGAATATTTGAAGAGTCAGTGTAGTATTGTTACTATTTGCATATCTGTTTACATGAAAAAAGTTTAAAAAGAACTTCTCTTATATAGATATTTAATACAATTATAATAGACAGATTTCAAAAATCAGAATTTCATTTCAAAAACAAAATAACTACTCCTGCAATAAAATTCCATCTTGTATTCATCAACTATCAAGTATTCAGTCTTTTAAATCACAGTCAACTGGATCACCAAGACTTTTCCTCAAAACATATTTCATAACACAAGTGTTCTCAGAATTCTTCATACCTACCTAAAATAATCAGTTATTTGGGAGAATCAAGCTTTCATTAAAAAAAAAAAAAAAAGTCTTCCAAGATCAAGTGTATAAACAGCATCCAAATTACTTCTATATTAAAGCAACTAAGACATCCTGGGATCAAATAAAAAGTCACCTATATGTGCCCTATATATGAAAACAAAGTAGCTGATATAGTTTTACAAATGTCAAGAAAAAAAAAAGCTGTGCCCTAAAATAACTCTCTTTCATTTTACCAAGTTATCTTAAGTTTCGCCACTGAATGGATTCCTTTGGGTCAAGCATAATGTTGATTGTATTAATTTCCAACATTATATTATGGATGCTTTCGAATAAATGTACAAACAATGGCACAGAGAATCACCCATATTCTCACCACTCCACTTCCTTCTCAACTTAGAACCAGCATCTTTCATCCTTCTCTCATCCCCACCCAGTCATCTTCTCCCAAATAAATTACTTGGAGCAAATCTCTCATATCATCTTTATCCTAAGTTATTTCAGTAAATTTAAGCAGTACTGGGAGAGAAACACACTGTCATTCATCTCAAGATGTTAATTTTTTTAACACAATCAGACCCCCAAGAACATTCACAAACTTTAAAAGGATGAACTAAAGAATAGAGGGACAGGAAAAGACAAAGATGAGGTTTCAACCATTTATGCTTCTAGTTTCTATTATTATTCTGTTTATAAATATTTTTCTTGAAAAGTATGCATATGTAACCACTTTTTGGTATTCATATATATGAAGGAGAAGAAATAACATGAATAAATCTGCTTCTCCAAACAAATGCTAACTGCTCTCTATTCCAGTAGAATTGCAGCTGGTTGGCCTTGCTAAAGCTTCAGTTTAAGGATTTCCTTCTCGTGTCAATTTTCTCTTCTCTCCTGAACCATCTACAGAAATGTTCACGTATGCTGCAACATCTCTCATGTTCTGTTTCTCACTCTTCTGCTACAAGTCCTTGAAAAACCTATCCACACTTGACTTCCCCTTCTGACCCTCACTGTGCCCAGAGACTGCCGCAGCCATGCTTCTAAAATCACCTCCTCAGTTCCACTCAGATCGGGTGACTTTTCCATCGCTGCACCCGATAGCCAGCTTTTAGTCTTCATGCTGCTTTTCCTAACATTGGTCAGTGAGTTGGGCCTGTGGCCTCGCCCCTCCTTGAGAATGTTTCTTCTTTTAGCTTCCTGGTCCTACAACTTCAGGGTTTTATCCCCTTCTGCCTCTCTCATATTGGTTCTTTTTCACCTCCCACATTGCAAATATAGGAGCGGCCCAGGACTCAGCTATCTGGTTTTCTCTTGCTGATATACATAGAGTTCTCAAATGGACTGATCCACTGTTATGTTTTAAGTGCTGTTTCTAGAGTGACACCTGCCACATACATATCTCCAGTCCTGAGCTCTTGTCTGATTTTCAGAGGATGAAGCAGGCTGCTTATTCAAATCTCCAATGTACCTCTGAGCGCAAAATTTACACTCACATATTCAAAATCAGCCTCCGAGTTTTCTCCCGGAAGCTTGTTCTTTTCACACCTTTTATAACCTTAGTCTATGGTAGGTCAGTCTCCCCGGTAGTGTAAACTAACACTGCGGTGCATCTTTGATCCCTTGTTCCCTCTCATGTTTCTGTTCGTTCACCGCTTCCATTGACATAGTTCTGATTCATGCCATCATGCTTTGCCCAAACTCTTGAAATCCTGTTTCAGGGCTTCGCCACTCCACAGTACAGCCAGACCTCACTTTTCATTTACACATCAAGTCCTCTCATTCTATACTCAGGATGATCCATAGCCTTTCACCTGTCTCAGAGTGAAGGCCAACGTGTCCTATGTCCTATAGCCTTTAAGAACCTACGTGAGCTTTCCACCCCCCGCAGACTGACCTCATCCCTTCATTCTCTTTCCCTCTCATTTTGTTGGAGTGAAACTGGTCTTTGGTATTGGGTGTGCCAAGAATGACCCTACCTCCAGTCTTGAATGTGCTGTTCCCTCCCCCTGGAATGCTTTTCCCTGAGATATATTGCTCACCCCCAGACCCCATTTCTTTCCAGTGTCTATTCAAAGGTCACCTTATCAGATAGGGCTTCTCTGTCTCCCCTGTCAGCCCTATCTTGCCATTTGCTCTGTGCCTTTGTTTTATAGCCCCTTGCATTCCCTGGTTTATTTGCTCTCTTCCCCTGAAACTAGAATAAAGCTTGTAAGGAAAGGTACTTTGTTGCCTTTGTGGACAAATGCCAGTCATGTGAAAAGCACACAATACAGGCCTTTTTGAAAAACAGAAGAGCAAATCAGTAAATGTAATCTCTATTGAACCTTAGATTGGTTCATTATTTTTTCCCAAGGCTTTTTTCCAGAGCTTCATTGAGTTTGTCCTTTTGGCACAAACAGATGAGTTTAAGAATCAAGTTCTTCCATATTTTAATAGAAAAAATATTATCTTTTTCCAGAAAAAAAGTTATT